TTTGTGACTGTGTGAGAAAACTCTGCGACTTGTAAATCAAGGCGATAAACTGCAACACAAGCGCAATCAAAGTAGGAAGGCTAAAAGCGGTGTTGACTTTAGGTCTTTGACATAATTTTATAGCCGGCAGCCAATATGCAGTAATCACAGCATGGAGACATTTCTGTTGTAGTATTTGCATTGTTTGAGTCACAGCCACCTGCCTGTGGATTTACACCAGTAGATCACAGACAATAACAGTAAAGACAGAAGTGCACTGGTTTATGACTTCAGCACTTTCAGTTTGAAGTCTTCCAGCACCAGTGAGTTTAAATTATGGTGGGAGACGTCCTTGGGATGTGAACATCTCATTTCACCAAGCTGTGCGCAACCACACACACACACACACACACACACACACACACACACACACACACACACACACACACACACACACACACACACACACACACACACACACACACACACACACACACACACACACACACACACACACACACACACACACACACCCACACACACACTCTCTCACACACAACTCATTTCATTGGGGGTCTCAGGGAGGCTGTACTCAGTGGAGCATGACATAAGAATTATACATCTGGCAGCAGTAAACCTGCAAACTCTCTCTCACACACACACGCCCACGAGCACACACACACTGACTGCTATCAGACAGAACACCCAACTTTGACAAAGAACAAATAATTATTTATTATTTTTGAGCATCATTGCTATTGGTGCTTGTAGCTCTTCTCCATGCAAATGTGATGCAGTTGTATTCCCTTGACACGAAAAGAGCTGAAACAGCTCTCTAGTTCTTTTTAGATAAAAAGTTTCATTAGTAAGTGTGCATTTAATTACATTAACTACTTTGGTCAGATTAAAAGGTCAGCAAGTTGTGTTTGGACTATATAAAAAAGCATGTTCATTTTTCAAATTGAAGATTTATTTTTGTGATATTGAAAATATTGTGCTGGCTAATGCTTTGTTTACAGGCTGCAGTGATTTTAGAGTGGGAGGGGCCAGAGTTCAACACATATGAGTGCAGAGAGCATGGCGTGGCCAGCCGACTATTATTGATAATATAACCCAGGTTGCAACACATTTTCATGTCAGTGACGCACTAAAACCATGGTTTACATCACATGACTGTTTATGCATCAAGATCTTACCCCGGAAAACCCCTCAGAATGACCTTTGACCCGAAGGTATAATTCAAATCAAATCAAAACAGATTTGAAGGTGTAATTGAAAAACATTATTTCTTACACCTCTGCTCTGATATCTATTGCTCAAATCGTTTTCATGCCAGATTTTTTTTAACGAAAGATATATAAAAGTATATTAAATTATTCAAGTATATATGATTTATGGTGAATTAAACTAATTATTTCTGAACTCTGTTAGATGGGTGGAGGCAGAGCATCCCAGCTGAACCAGGAGGCTCCGCATCCCCATCCCAGCTGCGCCCCTCTGACAGACCACAATGAGCACCTGGGGACACGCCCACCTCCTGCTTCCAAGCGCTGTTATTGGCTACGGGCTTAAATATTTCGAAGGCTGTCCCGCGATTGGCTCAAATATCACACAAGTGATTTCATAAAGCAAATCTTTTGGAAGTTGTGTAAAGGGAATAAGTGGGAAAAACCCTTGAGATAACTGCGGCATCAACCGCACAATTAGCTGTCGGTATCTCCTTTTCTCTCTCTCTTCTCCCCTGGCTGTCAATCGCTGGAGGATTTGTCGGAGTTCCCGAGCGCCTCTGCATCTGTGAGTACCTGAGTTCTGCTGCTGCTGAGGCTGATACCTTCCTCTGGGATCAGACTTAGCCTCCGCTGGGATGTGCTGCAGGGAGAGGCGATAGAAAGTTTATCTCCGTCCGGATTTGACTTTCTGCTCTGAGAATATTATAACTCCAGATTAGGACGCTTTTTCAGCAGTTTTTGGTCAGAAACCTGGTAGCCTAATAGAATACTGTTTTATCATCACATGCAGAAACTACCACGGAGTAGTGCTGCTTCACTCAGAGCGGATCACTTAAGAAAACTGCCGATGAGCAGTGTGAAACAAAAGAAGACCGCAGTTTTGATGATTATTCTTTGTGTAAATAGACCTGCAATGTTCACATGTTTGCACATTTTTCCTGTTTGTTATTTTCACAGCTTATTTGATTTTGAACCTATTTTCGTTTAGAGTTGTGAATTTAATATAGGCTAATTCAATTGGAGAAATGTAGCCTACAAAATAGTATAAATAGATATTTTGCATTACCACATCCAAACGTGATTAATTACAATGCATCATATTGGTGATAAATTAAATGGTGTGACTTTTATAAAAACATACAAAACTATACAAAATATTTGTTCATCATCTTCATGACATTTCAAAAGTTTGAAACAAAGTGAGTTGGGTTTTGTGATGCAGCGGATGAAGCATTATATTGAGTTGTTGCACAGTGTGTATTAGCTGGAATGAGGTGTGTTATTGTCTGATGCTCTTTGTGGTAAATGAGAGATAAACTGGAGCTTTACACTAATGGCAATTGTTGATTGCTCAGAGTGATTGCTAAGTGTAATTCACTGGGACTGGTACAGCACTTTGTGTGTTTGTGTGTTTGTGTGTGTGTGTGTGTGTGTGTGTGTGTGTGTGTGTGTGTGTGTGTGTGTGTGTGTGTGTGTGTGTGTGTGTGTGTGTGTGTGTGTGTGTGTGTGTGTGTGTGTGTTCTGCAGTGAAGGTGTCCTTCACAGAGAAGAGCCTCTGGAAGCGTGTTTTTAAAACTGAAGATGTTGCTGGCTCTTTGTCGCAGTGTTATCAGGATCAGAGCTCGGGCTTGAACGCTCCAGAAAGCACATGCTGATGTTGCACGCTGGCGTAATGGCCTCTTAATGCCAACATAAATAACTAAATCGAAAACATTTCTCTGCATCAAACGGCATTTTTTTCCCAAATGCTATTTCATGGCTGTTTTACTACAAATGACTATATGGGATGCTTCCTATTCTTATAGTGGGACAGATTGTTGTTGACCCTGCATATTTGATATTATAAAACCCCAATGATTGTTTTGTGAATTGTCGCCCATAGAAAAGTCACATTGCAACTTTATTGGCGACTCAAGTGGAGTGTCTTGGTTTTTACTGCAGTGAATGGGGCAAAGTGACTGTGTGTCCTTGACTGGCTAATGTATTGCCTTGCCATTTTATCAGGCCGGTCCCCAATGGTCTCAATCTGCTCTTTCTGCATCTCTCTAATAAGTATTTCTTCGTTTGGCTGAATTTTTTGGAATACTTTACTTCTTTTCAATTTCAGATATGTGTTGATCTAAATGATGCTGCAGTACCATCATCATAAAGCGTCTTAATATACATATATATTTGTTTAAAGTTCAGCTGCTCACCTGTGAGTGTATTCTTTTAATACATCAAATATTGTCTTGTCCTCTGAATGTCTATTATAAAAGGACTCCGAGTGCTTCTACATTAAAGAAAAGAGTGTACCCATTCCCCCCACACTTTTATTTATTTTTTGTTCTTTTCCTCCCCTTTGAATTAATAGCTTGCTGACACTATCTAACATGGAGTATATGAGGAAGTCTCTAAAGCTGCTTTCTGTAGTCTGGACTGGCTTAGCCCATTTGTCATTACATCCTGCTCTAATGGGGAGAAACTGCCTCATCTCGAGCTCCCGGTGTTGTTAATTAACCCTTGTTGCTAACAGCCACAGTCTACATCGCTACCAGCTCCCCAGCCAGCGTTATCACTGTGCTGCCTGCCAACAGAGCTAGCATTAGCCGGGGCCATATTTCTGCAGGTGTCAGCGAAGGTGCTTCCTCTCCCTGCCGACGTGCCTTTGAGAGTATAACTCAAACGGCAATGCGGTTTTTATCTTAAATTGAATTGTTGAGGGAGATGTTAAAGAGCCATACATCACCTGGACACTTGGAGAAAAAAAGGGAGACTCTGAAGCAGTATGCAAGCAGAGATGGGAATGGCCCAATGACATTACAGATGGAATGAGCTCTATGAATAGGGCTGCCTCCATAAATCCACAGGCAGAGCAAATCAAGTTGTCAGCTTGTAAACGCCATTCAGTGCATGTGTGTGGGTGGGTGTGTGTGTGTGTTTAGTCTTGCAGTGCTGTTGATGATGAGCATTTTATTTAAGCCTTAATGAGGTGACCTTTTTCTTTCTTTTCTCCCCTCAGTGCGGTTTCTTCTTCTCTCTTTTCAGTTTTCAGAAAGCCCACTACTACCTGCCTGCACTTCGGAGGTCGATTGGATCGATTCCTCTATGTTCACCTTTTATCTTCTGACCACTAAAAGGACACCTTTACATCAGAAAGCCTTTTATCCCCAAAACAGCTTTTCTAACGCAGCGTTGGTCACTGTCTCTGAGGAAACAGCACCTCAGGTCTGTTATATCAGGTCATATTGGTTTCCTCTATGTTCACTTGGCCTCTGGCTAATGCCCTGCTCCATGTATGGATTTTCTGTCCTGTAATTCCTCAGCCCGTCTGCCTGTGATGGGTTGTTCAGATCTAACCCTGCAGAACACTGCTGATTGCGGTGGTATATCTTCATCTTTATGTCTGAGTACAGGAGCAAGCTCTGCCAATGATCCGTCGATGTTTGCCTCGCGATGGATCTAGAGAATAGGCAACAAGGGCATGTGTTGCAGTTTGCAAGTGTATGACTTACAGTTTTTATTTTATTCTTATTTGCCTCATCTGCCCAGACAAAAGTGTGCAGTAGTTCAAAAGAAAAGTGTTGTGTGTGAATTTCCTGCATAGGAATTGTGATGGTCATGCGGGTGTGTTTTTCTCCAGTGTACAGCAGCGGTGTTCTACCTTGTATTTTAGACACATTATTTCTCCAGTTTTTGCTCATTAAGTAATAAGTATAGATTTGAGTTTAAGTGGCAGAGGTTTTTTAAGCAGCCTGATGGATGCCCTTCTACCTTTCTATTGCAAACACTGTTTTTTCCCTTCAGGTGAGGATGTTGTTGTGGCTGGTTTTGTTCCTGCCTTCCATCTCCTCGGCTCAGCGATCAGAGCCCATGTTCTCAGCTATAACCAAGACCGTCCTCCCTCCCGACTATGACAACAACCCCACCCAGCTCAACTATGGCGTGGCTGTCACCGATGTGGACGGGGACGGAGACCTGGAGATTTTTGTAGCTGGGTGAGAAAGGCTGGGGCGGGTTGTGTAATACAGGTTGTTCTTACTCAAAGTTAGTTTTTTTCAAGCTTTATCTTACTCCAAATCAGAGGCTAAAAGAAAAGTACACTGTCATGTTCAAGTTAAAGGTTGAAGACAAAGGCAAAGTATAAAAGACGAGAGATGGTAGGCCCTAAGGCTCACTCTGCTGATAGAAATGGATGTGATTGGACAGAGTGCCATTGATGGGAACAGTTTGGCAAGCCTCCCACTATTCAGTGAAGCAGCAATGAATTTCCCAATGCTTAACAGAATATAGATGGACTAAATTGACCCTGTTTAATAAATGTCATTTATGCAAGACACCCTATTCAGCAGGTATTTTTGGGCAGGAAAGAATCATAAAACGTCATGGAGGATGTCATTTCATTGGGGAATAAAATAATTTTAGGACAGAGTGTTTTAGTTTATATGACCCTGCTATTCAGCACTTAAAAGCACTTAAAGAAATGTTACAAATGCATCCCTATACTACACTATTATTTTTCAAACACAATGGATGGATTATACTGTATATACAATAATAGACGAAGAAAGTACAGGTTGTTTTTTAAACATAAACATCAAAACAAATGTTGACTGCAAGCTCAGTTATTTAGTTATCAAATTCAGGTTATAGCCCTGCAAGTTGTAATAATACTGATTGTTCCACATGCAGTATAAGGATTTTCTAATCCCTAATTTTCAACACATTTCTGCACAAGCATATTCTTGAGCAAGCAAATCTTACAAATAAAGAAATATAAACATGTTTTTAGGTATTTTAGGCAACATACATGCAATTACTCACTATAATAAATACCAGGGAAAAAAATGGTAGTCCTTGATTTAGGCGTGACAATTACTGCTGACATGTAACAGCCATGCCTCTGGTGCCCGTTGACAGCTTCAACGGCCCGAACCTGGTGCTAAAGTACGACAAGCAGAAGAAAAGGCTTGTCAACATCGCTGTCGACAACCGTAGTTCCCCATTCTACGCCCTGAGAGACCGCCAAGGCAACGCCATCGGAGTGACGGCGTGTGACATCGATGGAGATGGTCGGGAGGAGATTTATGTGCTAAACACCAATAACGCCTTCTCTGGTACAGTACATGCTTTTTATACACAAGGATACACTTTCACAAGGGTGTGCCTTTTCTCCTGAACAGAGACAAAGCAGGAGAATCAGTATGCAGCTTATCTCATCTGAGTCTTCATCAGTTAACAGATAAGCTTTGTGCTATTAATCAATCTGAGAGCTACGGAGCGCACACTGCCAAAATTATACTCAGATTTTTGTAAAAATTGAAGAGGTCACTTTCAGATGGAACAAGTTCTTCAGTTCATAACACCTCTTAACTCTCTGAGCAATCTTTGACTCTCATGAACTCTTCTTCTTTCTGCAACAAGGTCGAGCAACATATTCTGACAAGCTGTTTAAGTTCCGCAATGGACGCTTTGAGGATCTGCTGAACGATGACATCAACGAACACAGAGATGTGGCCAACCGTATGGCTGGGCGCTCAGTGGCCTGTGTGGACAGGAAGGTATTACACACACAAAAACACACAAAGTAGAGCATATGCAGATACACACACATACAAACTCCCCAGAGTGTCTTCTGTGTACATGCATGGGTGCTTCTGTTTGTTTACCAGTGATAACTCATGCCCTGCCTACGCCGCCCTTCTCAGCATGTGCTATGACAGTTCATTTGGGGAAATGGTGTGCCATTTTCTCTCTTCTGTCCATCGCACCAGTGTAATTACAGAAGCCAGGGCTCGTTTGTTTTATAGAACATCGTACGAGGGGAGGAGTGATGACTGCACACTACTGCTTTCTGCCTGTAGCATTTTCTCTCTCTCAGACCCTTTCCCATTGTTTTCTTGCCGCTTTCCACCTCCTTTACTCCCTTTTTTTCTCTCTTTCTGACACGCTTATACTTTCTCTTTGTCTCTTATCTCACACACACGCATGCAGTTCTCACTTCTAATCAGGGGAAGGGATAAAGAAAGTGATAGCTGGAAGAGGACAGTAGGGATTACAATAGATTTTTTTTAACCACTGTCCCATCTCACTGAACACTGATAGGTTGTGCAGCTGCCAAACCGATTGGAAAGATATCTGCATTTAATGGCATAATGCTTTTAGAGGAAGACAAAACCCTGATGTGTTTTCTTCCATGCTAGTACCAGCAGACAGATGGAGAGAGAGAATACACGTTCCTATTGCTAAACAAGTTTTATAAAACCAGATTTGGAATGACGGCAGAAGGCCAAAACCAAGGCATGCTGTTTAGTTGGCTAGGTAGCTAATGTGTTTGTTCTTGTTTACTCATGAATAAAGTGTTATCATTTAGAAAAAAAGAGAGATAATTAGTCATCCGGCCGTTTCATCCCTCCCAGTCTCCTTGAAAGTGAAGTCCCAGCATTAGTCTTATACAAACTGATGAAGGTAACATATTGAAGTATCTCGCATTGAACGGATGGATCGGCTCACTTTGCACTGACAGGAGCTTTTAGAAACAGGTGGATTGTAAAAGCCAAAGTGGTTCAAACACAATTGATAAAAAGCACTTAAAAACACAAAAAATAAAATGCTACATTAGTGGTGGTGGATCTTTCAGGCTTTTCAGTGATAGCTGTAAAGACTGATTTAAAGGGCATTAAACCCCTTACACCTCCACGCACCAGCATGCACTTTCCAGGCATGCATGTCACACTATTCACAAAGCCAATTCCAGTGACAGAAATTAGCCTTGGGTAGAGACTTATTGAAAAATCGTTGACTTTTAAGTTTGTTAAGTAACTGCCAGTGGCCTTCAGGTCTTTTATTGTAGTTTATTCTCATTTTGTGTGTGTGTGTGTGTCTAACTGCAACCCCTCCTCCCACCTCAGCAAGCCATTATGTGCAACGCTTCATGACATTTACATCAACTAGACTCATTTACTTTTCTTCTCTTGTAAAAATATAGTAGTGGTAACACAAATGGTGAAATTGCGTGTATGGTGTGTGTATGCATATGTGCATGTGTTTGTATTGATTGAAATATGTTAGGCCTGGTGGGAAAGCTCATTGGAATCCAGTGTGTAGTCTATTAGTGTGGTTCCGTCTGTGAGTTTGTGTCTGCAGGGACTCTGACTGATAATGGAGTGTGAAATTAATCTCCAAAGGAGGGAGCAGGGAGAGGGGCTGAGAGGAAGGGTGTAGAGCAGGGGTCTCCAACCTTTTTTAGGATGAGAGCTACTTTCACTCCTCTTTTTTTTGTTTTTTGCAGTGTATATATTTAGCACATTTTAACATTATGATATGCTGACCTTTAACCTTTGTGTGCTGTTTGGGTCTGTGGGACCCGTTTTCAGTGTTTACTAAAAGAAAATGTATGCAATTTAATTATTTGAACCTGCTTTATTTGGGGGTGGACCTCACCTCCTCTAGGGGGGTCCGGGGGCATGCACCCCTGGGAAGATTTATTTTTAAATGTTGAAGTTAAATGCATCAATCTGGTGCACTTTGAGCACAAAGTGAATTGATGGATACAGCTCTCAACACTCATATGAAAGGGAGCTGTATACTTTTCAATAATCCAAAATCTTTAGAATATGATCACAACCAATAACAAATCATTTAAACTTGTTTATTCTTATCTTATGTTACCTAGTTAGCATTCTTTCTTTTTATTTATGCATATTTTACTAATCACTCCCCTTTTAAACTGTTTATTTTTATTTTTTACTGTCCTATAGTACACATTGGAATAATTTCTTACTTTATTTTTTACAACTATATTAAATAGATAAAGGTGTGCTCTCTCTCTCTCGCTCTCTCTCTCCCTCTCTGTCTCGCTCGATCACAGAGGCTGTGTGCTCCTCCGTGGCGATGACGGCTTGCGTTAACAAATTATAATAAACATATTTGTAAAGTGGGGGGACACAAACGGGATTTCAAAGAGTGGGGGGGACATGTCCCCCCTGTCCCCAGTGGAAATGATGCCATGCGTATGTTTGCGTCAAGTTGCAACACACACACACAGTACAACTCTGCCCCTCATGTGCTGTATAGGCTGGCATGACTAGGCTGTGTTCAATGGGGCTGATTTGTTGTGTAGATTCTGCCAGAAGGAAAATCACGGTCAAACTCCTTATGAAGTGGTGAGGTGCCGCTCCACATTGCTTTTCTTCCCGACTGCAACGCTGGTCCTGCAAATCAAGCAAGAACGTGATTGGTCGATATTCATTGTGGGGGAGGAGGGGTGTTAGATAGATATAGAGTTGTAGTAAGTAGATAGAGTTCGCTATGATTGAGGTTTCGTTTATGCAAAGGGTACTGTAGATATTTTTAATTACATTTCCTTTGTTTTTTTGTGTATTTTTTACATTTTGGATTTTCTTGGCGAGCTACTTATTGAGGGCTTGCAAGCTACCGGTAGCTCACGATCGACGTGTTGGAGACCCCTGGTGTAGAGGGTAGGAAACAGGGTAAAGGAAGATAAAGAGGCAAGAAAAGGCTTCCTTTGGAAAAGGTGAAACTGCATTTTATTCACCAAGATAGGAAAATAATAAATACATGTTGTCAAAATGTATTCAACAAACAGGCTAGAGCACCAAAGACAAGTCTAAGAAGTTGGAAAGCATTTAGAGATGGACTAACAGGTTTTATGGGTTTGGTCTTTTTAGACAATGAGAAAACAAGCAGCAATGTGTATTTAAAGAAACAGTGTCCTTGTTACTGTGAAAAAATGATTTATCATAAAACTTGTCGACACTGAAATCTGATTTATCGGGAGAAACCAATAAATAGTTTCAGAAAAGAGATGGTGATGTTCAATTGTTTAAATAGCCATCAATAAAATTGATTATCAACTCACCTTTAGCTACACATTTATGGTTCATTGTTATGCTATAGTATATATATAAAAAAATAAGTAAAGTATATTAATAAATGGTAACCATATTTATTGTTTCCACCCAGGGTTCAGGGCGTTATGCCATCTACATCGCCAACTATGCCAGTGGCAACGTGGGCCCTCATGCTCTCATTGAAATGGACGAGGCAGCGAGTGATCTTTCACAGGGCGTCATTGCCCTGTCCAACGTGGCAGAGGAGGCCGGTGTCAACAAATTCACTGGTAGATATGTGTGTGTATGTGTGTGTGTGTGTGTGTGTGTGTGTGTGTGTGTGTGTGTGTGTGTGTGTGTGTGTGTGTGTGTGTGTGTGTGTGTGTGTGTGTGTGTGTGTGTGTGTGTGTGTGTGTGCACCCTCATACAGTGCTGGGCCTTCAGTCTGATTTACACAGATATCATGGAAAGCATTGTCGTAGCCATGGATTCTGAAATATAGGACTTCAGTGCAGGACAGGAGTCGAGTAAGCGAGAGCTGGAGAGGTGCCATGTGAGTAAAAAAAAGAACAAGCAAGAGATGAAAGAGAACATGATGAGTGTAAGCGTGAGAGAAGAAGGAGAGTGTTAGTGGGCTCTTTTGGCCCAGTCAGCTGTTTACTCCAGTCAAAGTCACAGGGAAGCAAAGGCGAAGGGCGATACGCACATACATCAGAACAGCTCAAGGGCCCAGATATGGCATCTATCACAGCCTGACGTAGTTCCCCCAGACTTTTGAAGGTGTGAGTAAAAGTATGTGGACGTCACTACAGCACAGTGAGTGTTATGTGCAGTCAGTAAGATCAAAGGTTTACTGTGCATCCCATAAAGGGAAACAGAGACCGAATGTTCTGCAGCATTAAATGTTTTTGAGGTTGACAGGAAGTTACTGGTGATATTTTTTACAGTTTGGGCCAAGTATCACTCCTGATCCTCCCACTGATTGGTTTATAAGGTGATTTAGTTGGCCAATAAAGTCCCTGGTGAGAAACAGCTTTCCCTGTTGGAAAGATAACCTAAGCAGCCAGATCTACCATGACACTTTTAAATCACTGTCTCTTTAAAGTTGATGTTTCTGAATAATTATTATATAATTATGTTTCATTTTTTCCCATGTCCATATATACATATACCATGACCTGCCTTTCACACCTCACCAAAGCCTAGCACTGTATGTGATATGCTGCCATTTTTATTTCATTGGCCATTTGTTGTCTTTTTATTGTGTGCAATGTATTTACCATTTTAATGTCTGCTATTGTTTCAAAGATTGAATCTGTTGGTGTTGTTTTATTTTAAGCTGCCTTGCTGCAAAAGCAAAAATAAAGACATTAACTGCCATTCAAATGCCTTTAAAACTGAATGGATGACCTTGAAATATTCAGCAGGACTACAATTCATCACTGCACCTCAACTCAGCTGGATCAACACTTCACTTAACCCTGTGATGGATACCTGTTTTGATATAGAAGAGGAGAACAATAAATGCCAAAATGAAGGATTTTACCATGATTTGTTTCTTTGATAATAGTGCTGCCTCCATAACACTTTGTTTGAACCATTGAAAAGTCCTTGACGCTGATGTCCAAGTAAATTTTGGAAATGGGACACGACTTTGCATTTGAGCATAACAGAATCAATCTTCATCCTCAATGGATCTTTTAGCATGCAGGATATCATCCAAGCCACCAGAGGGGCAGGGAGAGCCGGCCCATAATCGCTGTGAATGATGTACGGTGGATGGCTTTGTCATCAAACTGCCGTTAATCAGAGCGGAGGGACAGGCAGTGAAGTTGTATATCTAATGGTTACACATCTCTGGAGAGACATTAGTGGTTTATGGCCATAGGGGGCGAGTGATATTTGTCTGGGCTGATGGAGCGGGCCAGTAAATCAGGAGCAAGTCTTGATGCAGAGCACTGACTCTGCATACTGGAAGGGCAATCAAAGCCCTTTCAACTCCGTAATTAGACTCTGCTAGTTTCAGATGAGACACTTCACTTTATAGAATGTCATTGAAAAATACAGGGGTGATATTGAGAATGTATTAAACAGTCACGAAAAGAAAATGACTGTTAGCTTTTGGTTAACACAAAAGATTCTCGACTTGTGTTTCGTCTTTATATTTGTTTGAGCTAGATGTGGTTTTGTGTGTGTGTGTGTGTGTGTGTGTGTGTGTGTGTGTGTGTGTGTGTGTGTGTGTGTGTGTGTGTGTGTGTGTGTGTGTGTGTGTAGCCCATCAGAGTCAGTGTCTGTGTCAGCAGAAAGACCCGCCTTGCTTAGAGGAAATGGCCTGGAAAGCAGTAATGATCTCTCGCCGTTCAGTTTTGTTATGGCGTTGATCCCTCTCCCTCTGTTCTCTGTTTTCTCACCTATCCTGCTTCATTTTTTCTGTAAAAAGAAGAAGTCCGCTCACACTCTTTTTGATTAACTCATTTTCTTACCGTTGAGCCTTGTCTCTGTGTGTGCAGGGGGGCGAGGTGTTGTGGTGGGGCCCATTGTCAGTCAATCCCTGTCCGATGTGTTTTGTGACAACGAGTACGGTCCCAACTTCCTGTTCAAGAACAATGGAGATGGGACATTTACTGATGTGGCGCAGCAGGCTGGTAAGAGAAACTTGTGCAGACACTAAACAGATCATAGCCTTGGATGTCTTAATTCTAGACATATCCTGCAAAAACAATACAAAAGAAAGGCTTGATTGTTTGATGCATTGCCAAATCCCTGTAGGTGTGGAGGACCCCATGCAGCATGGCAGAGGGGTTGCTCTGGCAGATTTCAACCGTGACGGCAAGACAGACATCGTCTACGGGAACTGGAACGGGCCTCATCGCCTTTACATGCAGCTGAATAACCGCAAACAGAAGTTCAAGGTGAGACCAAATGTGTTTCTTGGGTATTTAACAGCTTTCAATGCCTGAGTATGTTTCATGCAAACATGGCTTGATGTGTCACACTTGAAGGTATGTGAAATCAGAGAGAGGCAAAACTTAATACATTTAATTAACTAATTTAAAGTTAATTTTACACACACAAAAGATACCGCAGTAGTTTTATGAAGAGTTAAAATAATAGAAAACTTTCAAATTCTAATAACTTTCAACATGCCAGCACGCCAGGCCAATTGCTAAGTAGAGTCGGTATGATTGTCTTAGTTTTGGCTTTAATCAAGCTAAAAGGGACAATCTTACACTAGCAATTTCATAATGAAGCCTTTATTATCAGTTGACATGAATTAAGAAATGCATACAGTATGTTGTGAAAAACCCCATGAAATCTAACCATGTAGGTAGTGGTCGACTATTTGTTTTGGTTGGGACTATTTCCTTAGTAGAAATCGGTTGCAATGATAACTACTCACAGTAAGTTGTGTGGATACTCCAGAGTAACCAGCAGCACTTATTTATAATGTACAGCCTTTGTGTTGAGTGATTCCCCCATTTGGATATCAAGCACTGTCAATGATGTAGACAAGTTTCAGAGTGAGGCTGTAGTTCTCTCTTCTTCTTCCTCCAGAATCAATGTCTAATGAACAAGTTGCACAAAGACAGCAAGTCTCACCTCTTAACTCTGTGAATCACGAGAATTATCAATGCCAACGGATGGCTAGTGAATTAGCAGGAGTCAGTGCTGTCCCACTTTGGGATCGAGTGGGATTTAAAATGGGACGGATGGTGATTTACTCAATCAATGAGTATAGACAACTCTTGTGAGACGGACAGCAGTGTGCATGTGTTACCCTGTATGGTAATAGCATGAGAGACAGAGAAAAGCTCTGCTGCGTGTGAATCTGTGAAGGTTTCGCGCTCGGTGATCTATCTGTCAGCAGCTGCGACTGCATCTTTTACCAGAGATAAACGTCACAGCAGACATCTTTATAGGGGTCAACTAAGGGGTTAATGTGTGATGCTTAGCCCAGAGATAATTCCATCAGAGTGACACACGCACACACACACTTACACACACCTACACACAGAAGACCAATTAAATTAGCTAGCTGTTGTTTTCCTTAACTAAGATTGTTAAATCACAAGCCCACAACATATTTAAGACCCCTTTTCCCCGAGCTGACACTCCTACTAGCCGTGTTGACCTTTGGCATGTATAATGAAGCTGTTGTATCACTCCAGTAAACCGCTAATTAAATTGGGCTGAAACAGCAGCTTGCCTGAGTCGTAGAAAGTGCCGATTAGGCCTGTTTGTGCTTTAATTAAAATCTATTGCTGAGGGTTTCCTTTCAGTAGGTTTAACACACTCACAAGCGAGCAAATACACCCACATGTATATATTATGTATTTAAAGAGACGGAAAAGGTCCCTTCTCAAAGGTTTGATTTCTCACTTATTGTGCAAATAAATAAAAAAAGCAGGGAATAATTATACACACAATCATTTTAACCGATTTCAACAGTATAATAATGTATTAAACTACGTATATTTTAAGTGGATAATTAAAACGAATAATAATAATGATTTTATTCACAATATCTTTTTATTTATAAAAATCCTTGTTGGAAGAAATCTCCAGTTATATCGTTTTTTTATCAAACTTTGTCCCCTCTTATCCTATAAATCCCATGTTTCTGAGCTCCACATTTACAGTTCCTTATGGCACCTCTATTCATCCCCATTGTAATATAGTAAATGTAGAACCGTCCCTCCCTCCCTAGTGGCCCTCAGTCGGCCATCCCCTCTCCTTCACCTGAGAAGCAGAAGGTCACTGTGGGCCCTCCCCACCTCCGACTTTATGAGCCTTATAATTAAAACAGGGAGTAAATACTAGAGGGAGTGAAGGGCTGCTCTATAACTCTTCCCCGACTTATCACCGTGTCACTGAAGCGGAGAGATATCCGTTACTTTCTTGTGCAAAACTCCTCTGCTGAGGAGACATTTTTTTGGGGAGGAGAAGTGCAGTTTACTTTCTGATGCAAGAGTATATAAAAAAAGTCCTTTGTTCTCAACTTTAGGAATTAGATAAGACTTTAAGTCAGGGTGACTTTCAGCAAGTGAGTGAGCAGATGACAGATTAGCTTCTAAATCAAGGACTGGATTCTGATTAATGATTGACATGTTATGGAGATTGAACATGTGACCTTCAGGTTATTGACAGATATAGCTTGCATCACCTTTTCTCATGATGGGATGAACATATATTGGATGCAAGCTATAATTACACATGACACATGACAGACCTTTTAGCCTAGATGATTTCCAGATGAAGCAGTTGTTTATCGTGTCAGCGAGACTAAAAAAAGATAAAACAGTCAATAAAATAGGATTTAAAAAAAAATCTGAACCACTACATCAATGAGAGGTCCTTGAGCAGACAGTCATAAATCAGCAAGAAAAATATCAGGCTGATGTAAAAAGGGAGACTGGCTGTATACAGACAAACAGATTAACATATGCACACACACAAAATCTGAATTATATAAAATAAACCAAGCAGTTGACCTCTGACACAAATCTGCCTATGCACAAATATGTGATCAGCATTGTGGTAAAGAAACATTTTGTCATCAATACACCTGCAGTACAGTTCAAATCTGGGATCATTATGTGGTTATAAAAGGCTATTCAAGCACTCATTCCCGATGTAGAAAATCATCCCTGCATATCTTTTTATGTCTAAATGCGTACGTGTGTGTGTGTGTGTGTGTCTCACTGGTGCACAATGTGATTCTCAGGACATAGCATCCCAGAAGTTTTCTATGCCGTCACCGGTTCGCACCGTCCTGGCCGCTGACTTTGACAACGACAACGAGATGGAGGTCTTCTTCAATAACATTGCCTACAGGGGCCCCTCCGCCAACAGGCTCTTTAGGTACTGAAATGTACAAGACACTCACACACACATGCACATGCACACAAACACATGTGTTATAGTAAATAATATCATGTGATCATAAGGGTTAACACACCATTTTTTGTGTCTTTATACACCATATTAAAACCCAGCTTGGAAGCTGAGAAGAATTTTTAATTCCCAGCCAAGGATACTTATCTAGTCTGGCATCCCGCCTCCTGCTCCACACATGAATGAATCTTTCATTAAGACAGTTTAAGGTCTCTTTTTGAGTTAGGCTTCCTCTCTAGATAATATTAATGAGCTCAGCTCTCAAAACGCAATACATGATACATATCAATTGTTTGGACTTAATAGTAGAATACACCCATGTCTGAAGACAAATCTGATATGGCATGTTTGTCTGAACAGGATGCAGATGTCATGGTGAATTTTGCCATGAGCTGGTGGGTCAATTCATCTGAACATCAATAATCAGTGTAAGCCCCAGAGGTTTCCTGATTATTCCTGCAGGCCAGGATACTGGAGACGATTTGTCACACTGATGTCCAACAGAGGTCACTGCTCCACAGCCTGTATCTCTGCCACTGTCAGAGTGTGAAGATTAATCAGCTAATTTAACTCTCTGGCACTGAAAATAAGCTCAAACTAGTGTGCCCAGGCTAATTTATTCAATAGGTTACAACTAATCCATATTGAGCTGAGCTGAGTGGTTTAATATCCAGCATCAGCACATTAAAGCACAGTGAAGTGAAATGATAACTTGAGGAAACGTAGATACAGAAATGCTTTGTCACAAAAGGTAGAGGCACTAGAGCTGCTTTCTTCCAACAAATGTCTCTCTGAAGACATTCAACTCAAGCTCATCCAGTATATTAATCTGCCCACAATAGGATTGAAACACAGACCCATTAGCATTCAGTTATTAGTAACATCAGTAGTTCTCCTCATGTTTCAAGACACCTTTGACCAAAGCACTTTGGCGAGATGACAATTACATTCATTTAAACCACACAAACAACAATGATAAATCAATCAGTAAGAAAGTAAATAGGAATCAACAAGTATTTAATTAAAAAAAAGCCCATCATAATGCTTAAAAATAACTGTAAATAGGAAATGTTTTTCCCTTGCGTATGCGTGTAGTGTTTTGTTTTAGTTTTGGGAGGATGTTATGCTGGGTATCTTTATATCAGAATCCGAAGTAAATGACCCATTGGTGGTGGATAATTATCTGTTACATTATTAGATGTTACCACTGATGCATCAAAATGTAAGCTACATTTTATTGTTGTAGCTTGTGAACGGCTAATTTACTATATTTTATGTACTGTACAATCTTAATCTGTAGAGTAGTTACCAAGTAAATGTAATGAAGTGAAAAGTGCAATGTTTCTCTATAGTGGGGTTGGAGTATACATTTGCAACCAATAGACATACCATAAAATTGATAAAACTAACAAAGGTTGTTTACAACATTGCTTAATTATTTATAGTGGCCTTGGTCTTTGTGTTTTACAGTGTTCTGATGGGTAATTGATGTTTTGTTGGTTTGACAGGGTGAGCAGGAGAGAGCATGGAGACCCCCAGATAGAAGAGCTGAATATTGGAGAGGCAGCAGAGCCTGAAGGACGGGGAACCGGTGAGTGAAGGAGAACAGACAGCTGTCAATCATCCATCAAAGACCATCATCCCATCTGCTACTCCAACCTCTCATCACTAGGTGGCAGCAGAGCTCCACTTGGGTTTCCTCATGCGCCTAATAAAACAATAAATACATTTGAAACATTGTGTTTTAATACAGGAGCTGTAGCCACAGACTTTGATGGTGATGGGCGTCTGGAGCTGCTGATATCTCATGGTGAAAGTGCAGCTCAGCCTCTCTCTGTCTACAAAGTCAACCAGGTGAGTGTTTCTGACACATCTTTAAAATAAGGTAACACTCGTAACGTCATCTTAACCCAAACCCGCCCTTTTTCCCATTCTGTCTGTGCCTTAGGGGCTCACTAACGCCTGGCTGCGGGTGATTCCCAGAACCAAGTTTGGTGCTTTTGCCAGAGGAGCTAAGGTGGTGCTGTACACTAAAAAGAGCGGCCCGCATACACGGATCATCGACGGTGGCTCAGGGTACCTGTGTGAGATGGAGCCGGTAGCCCACTTTGGCCTTGGTGAGTTGTTAATTGTCAACAATAAAATGACATAAAACTGTTGCAGGGATTAAACGTGCAAGAGAAATCTTAGAAATGCATGTTGTTTTTGCATGTTAAACCCCAAAGCCTTACACCCAGTGATATTTATTTTACAATAATAATCATCTGTGAAAAAGCAGCAAATTATCTATTTGAAACATCCAATGTTCGCCATTTAAAGTCTCTGTAGATTGATCAAATAATTGACTAAACCTCAGCACTTCTCTTTGCAACAGCCGGGTAAGGGATAGGCAGACAGACAAATGGACTGAATGAGCATTACAGAGTTTCAGTGAGAAGGGAAATGAAAGCTCCATGTGGAAAGCATTGTTTGAATACCTCTAGCCTGATTGGACACCCATGGGGGAACATGTTGTCTGTGGGTGGGAGCTGAGGGGATGGGGAGCAGGTGCTGCTGCTGGAAGCGAGCCTGGTTGTAAGGAACTGGCTCCCGGTCTTCTTCTGCCCCTGTATAAATGTCAGCTGGTGGTCATCCAGGCCTGGTAGCTCGCCCAATGCTACTTCCTGGACCTGTTCTTTATCAGAACTGTCCAAGCATGGATGAACTCTGGAGGCACTCAGTTTTAATGCCAAATAACTCACAGAAGAGAAGACTTTCCACACCACGTGCAAAAAGTGTCACTACTGGTAGAAATGTGATATATACTCCTCTCGACTAGAATAGAGGGTGTCATGCTGGGTGAAAAACAAGGGAAATATTCTTTGGCTCTCAGGCAGCACACCTGCTGAGTAAATCACTGTCTGGCAAGGTAACTCGAGATCTGTTTACATTATAAATGCCACTTTCATTAAGGGCTGCAGAGACCGTCTGGAGAGGGGTTTCTCTACGCCTGATTAAAATAGTAAATGGAGGGTGCCACTCTGTTTCTCACTGTGTTTGTTTCAGTGAGAAAGAGAGGAAAGAGAACGCTTTATGAGCTCTCAAGAATCACTAAAGCACCTACAGTTAGATGTTCCTCTCTGTGTGTGTTGTGTGTCTGACCAGGTAAGGATGTTGCCACCAATGTGGAGGTGTACTGGCCAGATGGTCGTTCATCAGCACGACCCCTGGAGCCTTCAGACATCAACACAGTGATGGAGATCCACTATCCGAGAGACGAGGAGGAAATCACTCCTGCTGTGGAAATAGAGGTAAAGCAGTTATTCATAGTTATCCAAAATGGATTAGTTCCTTCTAGGTCCTTCCATCGGTAATGTCACACAAGTAATTTGAGAATAGCACTGACACCAAAGGGCCTAAAGGAACACATAGACTTCAGACATACTGTGTGTTACCTTATGTGTGCCAGTTAAATTGAACATGTGCCAAAGAACAGCAGCATCAATGGAGCACATTATGATAAGTGCATTATCTGCTTTATCACCTAATCTTGCATTAAATTATCTTATAGTCAAAGTCTTGGTTTTGGGCTTTTTTTGCTTATTTAACTACAAATCAAACAAACATATACAATACAATAATTTAAAGATGCAATGGTTGTGTGACGATTAAAAGGGAAAACCTACATAAAGTGTTTCAGTACGGTGTTGAGCCTTTGCAAAAACAGTTTGTTCATTAGCATAGATTATCCAAGTCTCATGGAGGATTAACTGCATTCTTCCAAACAATAGTTCATAATCTTATCAGGTTTTTCCTCGATTTTTCACCCATCTATATAATCTCCTGATCTACATCGAACAGGCTTAAATGTATTTTTATTCAGAAACATTCTTGTTTCTAACTAGACTGTCTGTGTCTTACAGTGCGGTCATGGCTTTGCTCTGAATGAGAATGGCCGCTGCACAGGTAAGCTGCAAATATCTCTCTGTTCACCCCTCTAATATGTTTCCTTGTTTGAAACTAGAGAAAAAGTGTCTTTCCTTCCCTCGCCTCCCCCTCCCTCAGATAAAGATGAGTGTACCCAGTTTCCCACCGTGTGCCCCTCTGACCGCCCCATCTGCACCAACACCTATGGCAGCTATAAGTGCCGCGCCAAGAGGAGATGCAACCAGGGCTTTGAGCCCAACGACGACGGGTCAGCCTGCGTGGGTGAGTGAGGCAGGGCAGCAGGAGAACAAAGAGCAGGAGAACAAAGGAAGCACTGCCGTAGATGAGATGCTTTAAGCTTCTTTCATTACTTTCGTTTTGAGTAAAGGCTTAGAGGTGCTAACATCCCTCTGACTGGTCCCCTCTCTGTTGTCCCGCATGACTAACCCTCACCTGTGAATGCGCTCTTCTTGGCTAACTTTGCTTGACATCTCCTTTGATTCTTCCCCCACAGCCCAGGTGGCTTACTTTGGGGGAACACGGTCTTCTGGGGAACGCAGACGGTCAGGACTTTCTTACTGGATGCTCCCCATCTCCGTGCTACCACTCGTCTCCACCCACCTCCAGACTGGACTACTGTAGCCAACACTGGCTGCTCCCCTTCCTAACACTCTCCACTGCTAAACGGGGGAGTACAGAAACTCTTTGGAGAACACCTTTCACCGAGCATCTACTCCTTCTCCTATGTGGATCTCTGCTATCTTTTTTCATCTGTTATTTACAGCTTTGCCCCCTCCTCACTGCCGCTATGTGTCACCTCTTGGCTCCCGGCCCCCTCTGGACTATAAAAAAACACACAGCAGGGAGCATGCTCGCTGGGAGCGACGGGGTTCAGAACTAACTGTGTCACACCCGCACAGCCCTCATGTCATCACCTGGCACTTATCTTAGTGGGACCTGAACTGAGGCCAAGTCAATAAGTGGAGCAGCGTACAGTATAAACCCTGCACATACAGTACAGCAGACCACCTTCATTAGAGAACCGCTGAGAGCCCATCTGTGTCTGCACAACGCCACCACGTTAATCTTTACAATGTCAATCTCATTCTTGTTATGGGCTCACCGGGAGGCTGAGGAACACCAGATCTCCAAGCTTTTAGGCTCAGTGTTTGTGTGTGAGTAAGTGTGTGTGAGCGTACAGCGTCCAAAGAGGCAGTCGGGTAGAGAACATACGCCAGACCATCTGTCGCCGATGGTAGGTTACATTTAGTTGCTTATGAATAATACCACAGCACAGTGAATAATATAAACACACTTGTGTGTGTGTGTGAGCACAAGAATTGCCAGGGACAAATTTAATCTTTTTAAGTAAATAGCAGTAAGGTGTACTTGAAACGCAATTTACTAAGCAAAGTTAAAGCATTTGCAAAATATTGCAGAACTGTACATTTTAAATGAGTGTCAGCTTTAAATATTTATTGCAAAAAAGAATCCCCCTAATTTGTTGCCATCTAAAAAAACAATTGGCTGGTTAGAAGAATGCGAAGACAAAAGGGAGAGGGTGTGGATTTTCATGGACCATTACTTTTTTCTTAAATAAGACATTTTCGACAACATAATATAGTACTTTAACTGATGAGGCTGGTGATATTTCATATTTTTATCGTCAACAAATTAAATGAATAGACAAAAATCAATGATGCGCGAGTCAGTCTTCAGAATGTCTTTAAACAGCTGGGCAGTGTAGTTAAATATAAATAAAACCCTTTTGTCCATCACTGTGTGTAAAGCGATTGCTGTTAATGGTAAAGCCCTGGGGCCTCATTTATAAATGGTGCGTACGCACAAAAGATGGCGTACGCCAGTTTCTACGCACTGTTTGCAATTTATAAAAAACTAACTTGACGGGAAAATGTGCGGTCCTCCACGCAAACTCTGACCCATGCGTACGCACTAAGCACAAAAACGGGAGAGACGAGAAACTGCGACACCGTTGGCAGAAGGAAGAATGGAGAGAAATATGTGGAAATAATACCATAAATAAAATGTTACCTCTCATTTATCATATATGAAGAATTCATTTTCACAAATGGATTAAAGCCAATCTTAAAATGATTTAACAAACGCCTGTTTGAGACTCCTCAGTGCACACAAAAACATAACTTGGAGAAATAAATAAATACGGAAATGTTATTGATCACCCCTCGATTATGTTACATCAAATTGAAGAGACAGATCACGTTTTGTTCAGCCGGATAATATCCACATGTCTACCCTACTTTTATAATTTTCTAATCATAAATCTAATCGATAGATTTATGATCGATAGATTTATGACCTTATTTCGAGCTATTTTCCAAAATCCTATGGAGAAATTGCATTGGTTTTTGTCGAAGGAACCGGAAGAAGTTTACTTCCGGGTTTTAGGATGCGTCACTGTGGCACTCTATAAAGGGAAACCGGCGTAGGACGTGCCGCATGCAAATCCTACGCCGGTACGCAGTGTTTTATGAAAATGTCTGCGTATTTATTTGCTTTGTCCTATGTAAGCAATCTTCCCACGTGAATCCTACGCAAGGCTTTATAAATGAGGCCCCTGGACACATTTTAGCACATTCAAATGCCTTTTTGTTTTATGACCACAATTTTTTGAAACCTTTCATGAAATTAATACATATTTTGGCAGAAGACATGACAGAAAAGGTCAACACTTTGTCCTCTACAAGGTGTTGAGAGCATGTTGACTGACAGGTTTTTGCTTCCACATTATTCCGTAGGGGAGAATCGTCTCTCCCACTGCAGAAACTGCACAATACAGCCCTCTTCTGCAGAGTTAGACCTCCATCAATGTCATAGCAAAGGATAGCTTCAAGTGTTGGCAAGTACAGTCCTCCAGAGTAGTAAGTGTGAGTGTGTTTGAGTGTGTGTGTGTATTGCAGGATTTCTTCCTATTCACACGCTGAGGCAAGTGTTGTGTATTCTGGAAATATTTGGCTAAAAAAACCTCACACATTCCATTTCAGAAACAGCACCAAAACGGGCCTCTTGACATTGGTCCCCGACCTGCTAATGAGCTGGACACAAACCACAGATGCCGTCTGTAAATATCAAGTAATTCCCGAGATTTAGAGACAGTACCTTTTTTTCTCCGAGACATTTTTAATGAAAACCAAGAGGCATTGGAGCATGAAAATGAATAAACAAACAATGATGGATGTGTTAAAGCAATTCTCACCACGGACGTCTGTTGGATCGGCGATGTTGTCAGGCTCTCTGTGTAAGCCAAAAACTCTGTGGAGGAGAGAGAAACCAGGATCATTTCCACACTCAAGTCAAATATTTGAATCTAAATGGAAATTAACACATCTGTCAAAGAACCGGTGTTGCTATAAAGATCTTAGTATGAGGACAGAATTGAAATGCTTTTGTAGCTTGAACGACACTGTTGGGTCAGACTATGTGAAAACTCACAGTTTGCATGAACGATGAGATCCATATCTGTTTATCAAAATTGCACGCTTTAAAAGGACAAACCCGTGTTTTTAACCCTATTGAGCACATTCTCCTATTTAATCTACACAAACTCGTAACAATGTAGTAATCTGTTGTCAAAGACATGGTTGTGTGAATCCAGTTTGTATATTTTCCGATATGTGTTGAAATGGATTGTGACATTTCAGCAAATTATTTTTGTCAACAGAAAACAGATTATTGTTGTACAACTTTATGTACATGCAATCAAACAAACCGTTAACCATATTTACTGTATCTACTCATTCAAACATGCAGGGGATACACAGGTCATTATACAAGACTCTATTCAACATATGAAGCTTTGCTGTGTCCAGTAAAACTGAAGTTTATTTAAAATGTGAAGCTGTGCTAAAGATATTAAATAAAAACACAATATTCACAGTGATGGATTACTCCGCTCAACCACTCAAGCAATGCGTGAAACAAGACTTATATTTGTGTGTCTAGAGTGGAAGTACATGACTAATGAAAGGTAGAAGAATGATGGGATATTCAGTAACTACAATAACAGAATAGACTCCACTTAAAGCAGTCCAGTTGTTCTGAAACTGTGTAATGTACCTTAACAGTGTCACTGAGTGATCGCTGACGAACTGCAGGATGGATGCCCTGTGTGTGTGTGTGTGTGTGTGTGTGTGTGTGTGTGTGTGTGTGTGTGTGTGTGTGTGTGTGTGTGTGTGTGTGTGTGTGTGTGTGTGTGTGTGTCTGTCATGGTCACTGCCACTGCATTGTTTGCTATTTCAGAGGCTCCAGCTGTGTTACTTTCTGCTAAAATAAACTGCAAGTGGAGATTTCCCAGTGAATCATAAAACATAATGCTCAATGTGTTTCAGTGGAGTTTGCACCAGTGTGTGTGTGTGTGTGTGTGTGTGTGTTTGTTTGTGTGGGCTTTTGATCCATGTGGAAAAATAATACATACAAAATAATTGCATGCATCAGACCACTAATCAAAACATTTCCCACAAACAGCAATTATGCAATGTACACACTCCATAAAGTGTTCACAGAAAAGGACAGAAGATCAGATATACATGTTCAGAAAATATTTGTACTGTATGGTAATGACCAGAAAAAAGGAGCGGAAGGAGATGAGGAGAAAAAGCTGTATAAATGTGGATGTATACACTGTAGTGGACATTTATTTTTAGCTGCAGCCGGAGAATGTACGTTTATTTTTGGTTTGGTTTTGTGAAAACAAGATTGTGCCTGACTCCATCAACCAAGCAGGCTGAGTGAAGTGGTGCGGTGTGCAAACTCTTGTCTCCTGTCTCCAGGCCATTGCAAGTCTAATTCTAGTAATGCTTTAGGGGTCGTTGTAGCCTGTGATCAAATTAAAGCCTCATCGTCCCTGCCTATAATAGCCTGAGATCATCTCATTTGATTTTAATTTATTTGATTAATTTCACCATGGCCAACCACTAAAACAAGTCAATGAGATTACAGATTGAGTTTCTTTAACAACCACTTGGGCATGAACGGCATTACACACAAAAGCTAGTTGTTAAGTAGGTAATGGTTTATTGTTTTTACTGCTAATTGTAAGCCTACACAGACATCTATCTACCTGCACTTATCTGTATTAACGAGATTAGGAGGGCAGTGACTGACACATCAATCATTTGCCTATAGCAACAGATCTAAAAATAACGACACACAACAACCTCTGTCTGTCACAGTTAAAAAAGGTGATCAGAAGTGACATCTTAACTGGAACCACACATTCCAGCCTCGGATGCTTAACATTGTGTTTCCGTGTTTCTATGTAGCATTCTGGGCTGCGCTTGAGGGCGGTCCTGTGGTAAACCCAACACAAGAGCTGTCAATCACTCTGAGGTTAAACAAACCGAGCAGATATTCAATCCAAAGCCAACAGGCGGGGCAGTGGAATAGCAGTGGGAAAGACATCGATTTAAAGGAGAGTCTCAAAATCTAGGCTGTGCACAATAAATCAAGTGTGGCTAAAAACGGGAGAGAAAAATCCTGCAGTTTCCAACATGTTTTACTTCTTTGTCCCTTCAAAGAGTGACTCAGCACTGTGGTTTTCATGGCAGAATCTCAAAACCAATGTTGAAAATTAGATGCAACATTCACATGTTCAAATGGTCTGTGCATAGGTTGGGTTTTGCATACAGAATGTCTGTGTTCTGAGGGGAGCGGCAGCAGTGAATCTCTCTGTTTCAAAACAGTGGTTTAATGCACAATCATTACTCATCGTGATCTTGAATTTGGGCAGATGTGGATAAATGTTTGGTGGGCCTGAGTGAGCACAGCCAGAGTTTGGATGCCTCCAGAGACTCTGCAGCAGACAGCCAGAGTTAACACATTATTCTACGTGACTGAATTCCTGTTTTGTTAGTTTTAGATGAGGGGGCTGAACTAATTGTGCATTTGTGTGTGATTTGGAGTGTCAACAGCAGAATTTAGGAGTAAACTTCCTCTTCTAATGTCGCTAGAGTCTGGATTTTTCTATGATGCCGAGTGCTTCTCCTTATGGGCTTCATGCTTGATGCATTTCATGCCAGCACACAATTGTGAACTTCACTATAATGTCTCCTCTGTGTGTGCCAAGCACCGCTGCCATTCAAATGTTCCTGGAACACAGAGGCAGCGGTGTGATACTGATTTTCTGTCATATGCAGGAATAAACATTTTAACCAATCAATACCAGAAACTGATTTTTTTCCCTTTCGGGGCATCCGTGACTCATTTTTGGAAAAGTTAAAGCAGGCCGCTTTTTTCCTGTTTAGAGAACAAGGAATGAAAGGGCAGGAAGGGCGTGGAGGAAGTAGACAGAGAAAGTGTCGTGCAGCCAAAGGACGAGGAATTTTTATACTTGGAAACTCAAAACAATCTTTAGTAGAAGGTGGGGGGGGGGAGATTTTAAGCAACAAAGGAGGTCTGTGTATACGGAGAGAGCACCTTGTTAGCGTGAGAGTGACCTTTCCCCACAGGTGTTGAGAGGTTTCTTCACATCTCTGCTGTCTTTAAAAAAATATCAATTCACTCTCACCGCTACTCTTCTGTCTCGACTCCTGTGATCAACAGTAAGCCTCAATATCTGCCAGAACGCTATCGCTAAATTTTTGGCCTTATGAGCAGGCTATGATGGATCTACTTTCACCTCTTAGACACACTCTCTCACACATACACACAGGTACAAAAAGCAGTTTGGACAGTCATCTCTGCAAAAAATGTTTAATGAAACAAGTCGGTAGGAACTAAACGTACTTCAAATAATTGTTGGCCACTTGGAGGCAGTGATAACATTAACAGTGTGGAGGGAAAATGTTGAGGCATGGGCAACAATTGGCATCAAAAAGTCAAATCTGAAAACAGACATTTTATACATTCTATGCTTGGAAATCACTGAAAAAAGACACTAATAACTCCAGACTGAGTCTAGTAATCATCAAGATCTTAAGTTTTCTTCAGTATCAAAGTAATTCAGTTATAGCTGTCTGAATGTGTTAATAATTCCAATACAAACATGATCTGCTACTGTTTATGCTAATTCAGAGTGTTTTTAAATTATGCCACTTTGGGGTGTACAATGATTTTGACCTTTAGTTCTGAATTTAAAAAAACCCTCAATATGCTCATTCTCTGCTGGGTTCATTAAAAGTTCTGCAGACAGCACATCGTCCTTGAACCTACAGAACAATTGTTGTAAACTTTTTTTGCGATCGTTAAGACTTAATTCTAGAAATCCCAAACTAAAGTCAGTTCAAGTCCTTTAAACTCCTAAATGTAAATGTTCTGCTTTAGTTACCCTGCCTACCTTGGGTATTACTGTGTTGGGTGTGTTCCGGTAACTCAACATGTTTTAGTTTGAGTGGTTTTTTCACAAATTGTTCCGCTGCCCCCAAGTGGCCAAAACATGGCCAAAACATCAAGGTGCGATTTAATCCCAATGGCATATTTTCTTCACTTACCTAACACCAATAAAATTTAGACCAAAAACTAGATTAAACGACTACAAATCATAAACAGCAGAGATCAAGAGTGATACATTTAAGAACAACTACAGTTCAGTGTAGAACGTAGACTTATGTGAAAGAAGTAAAAGACCTGCAGCGAAAAGCAACATAAAAAATGTAGCCTACTCTGTATTGTAGTGATTACGTTTTGCAATAATGTGTACATTACTTGGCTGTTTATTGATAACAATACAATATAATTGATTAGTTTATTTGGGATATTAGTATTATTAACCTGAATGTACCAAGTAACCAATAGGTACTGTTGTCAAATAACTGTAGTGGAGTAAAAAGTACATTATTTAGTTTAAAAGATAGAAAATAAAAGTAGAAATAAAGTATGAGAAAATTAAAAGTAAAAGTACCTCAAACTGTACATTACTTGAGTAAATGTACTCGGTTACATTTTACGCCAGCTAAGGTGTGAGGAAGCTGAGGCTCGTGGCCAGAGAGTTGACCTCCCAGTCCGGACCATCTGCAGGTCCCACCCTCAGGTGACATGACTCGGCATCATCGAAGAGTTTCCTTCTGTGGACATCCACAGAAATGCGTGTAAGAGACAGACCTCGTGTTACCGCACATGAACTCAGAGCAGACACGCAGCATGGATCCTTGTTAACACCAAACGGCAGTCACAATTATCCTCTTCCATTTTACTTCTCCAGACACTTTATTCATCTCATGGAGACAGCTGAAACTCTTCTCCACAGGCTTTGAATAATAATCGGCTTTAAGAGAAAAGAAAATACATGAATCCATTTCAGCAAATAAATAACTCGATGTAAACACATAAATAGCATTAAGATAAGATATCAATTCCTCTCTCCTAGCAGCACCACCAATCGGGGTTTTGTTGCTCAGGGATTTCCCTTCTGGCACTCGCTGTGTTTACACACACACACATCATGCAGCATTATACATCAATGCAGGACTCAAAGCAACTCCAAGAGGCTGGTACCAACACTAAACATAATCTTTTACACTTTGAGGAAGACATTATATTGCAATATAAATCATCTCTTTCTTGACACAGTCTAGCATACATACATTACTGGGGACTCAACAGTTCTGCACTCTCAAATACAGTACAAGATAAATATGACACGTGGGAATTAACATACAGAAATTGACTTTACATCATCACTTGGCCCACAAGTTTCTCCTCTAAAGACAATAGGTTATCTTGATAGTCAGCATGATAGAGGATCAAGACTCAACATGTAATCTGCTCCGTGATAATCTCAATGTACATCTTTTTATGAGAATACATTAAATATTGTAACCTTCACCCCCTCGGTTCTCTTCATTCATCAAATAACTTGCTCTTGAAAGAACAAGCTACATAAAGCCTTCAAATATGGGACACCGTGTTTATCTCTTACCGCAGCCTTAAAGGATAGGTTCAGATTCGTTTAACGTACAACTTTACATGTCTTTGTACATTTTAACATATCCTTTAAAGAGCTTTATGCTTTGAATTTGGCACACAGACTTCCCCCTGAGGACCATCATCACCCACTATGCAACAACAACTTACATTGTTATTATTACTAACATTATCATAAGCTACATTATCGACAGTTTTCACATAACTAATTGTTATCTTCATTTTTACAGATGATTCACAGCAGCACACAGCTGTACAGACGATATGCTTTCATAGCTGCTCTGTCACTTGATGCCCAAACTACAGAGGATCTCAAAACATTGAAAATGTATTGAGGGACTAATACTGGGCAACAGTGATGTTTTGGAATTAAATAGCATTATGGCATTTCCTTCCACTTCTTTACACTTCTTATCTCGGATTGACACGCATGTACTGTACAATTCAAAGTTCTTCTTCTGTACAGTTCATACACACTCAATGTGTGTACGCATTCGGGTTTATACATTGTCCATTGAGCTTCTTTATTTGCTTATTGGCACTGTTGAGTCAGTTTTTATTCAATCCATCAGCCCCAGGTTGGGTATCCATTCCACTGGCATGAAACATGAAGGCATCAAAAAGAACAGGAGGCTGAACACGAGCACAACGGCACTCCACTGCTGCGGTAAAAAGTATTTGGAGGTTCATCTCATTCAGATAGGAAAAGGTCTGGTCGAAATTAAATGATCCACTACAGCAAAACATATTTTCTAGTGAGCGGTTTAACTTCAACCTGACAAGTGGGGGGTTTTGATCAAAGCTAACTTTGTGGCTAAAGTAGAGGAAAAGGGCTACACTCCCAGAGTTGATTTAAACATGATGTTATGAGGCGAGATTAAAGAGAACAAAACAGAAAATGGTAAAAGACACAAACTGTGGGAACATGGAATAAAAAAACTAGACAATCAACAGGGCTTATTTTGTCCAGTGATGTCTTTTGTTTGATGTTGTGTATCAAAATGTTTGCTACATGGTGATGATCTTTTGTCTTGTAAGCCTCCACTCACACAGAAGCCAGACAGGATGTACTATTTCCCACAAAGAGAAACAGAATATGCTTCCCGTTGTCTCATTGTCTCAATTCCATGCTTCTCATTGTCTTGTGTGTACTGCGGAGATTGTTTGAAAAACAAGCCTGCAGGGTGGATGAGTAGCGGTTTAAAAAGGTAAGTTTCATTAAGGAGAGAGAAATGATTTAATGACTATTGTCATTACACTCAATCCTTTTAAGGATTTATTATTTGGGAATTGCAGAATTTCCTCTGTCTGACCCTAGAGGGAGCAATAACTGTGTTTCACTCAAAACAAACAAAAACTGACCCCAACATTTCTGATAACAAATGACAGATGGCATCAATGAAGCGGAATACTCAGATAAAGACATTTTAAATCGCGCTCTGTTCTTAGTATTTCCTAATGCTGTGTGCCTGTCAGAAACAAAGATATTATGGCTGAATGTCTTTTTGTATTTGTATGATTAGACATTTATTGCATCTACATTAGCAGTGTAGACAGACAACAACCCGCTGTAGAAACATCATTCCACACTGTTTTCTCTTCCCTGAATCAAAGATGCCAGTCGTCAGTTCTCATTAGAGACACTGATCTTTAGTCTTTGACGTCTTTTTAACGAAGCAGGCTTCAGTAAGGCTGGGACTGATGACACAGATACACACAGACACCCACTACCAGGGAAACTAGAGCAGGCAAACAGGGCCTGGGTTTGCTTGCGTTCCCAATGAGCCGAGACCACAGAAACATGTGTCTCCACACCTGCCAGGATCTGTGTGTAGGAACACTTAGCCCTGTGTGCGTGTGCATTCATGTCCCCTTGCTAGTGTCTGTATGAGTAATTGGTCATGGTTGTGTACATTCGTATGACTTTATGTAACCTACAGCTGTGATGTGGATCACTACCGTCCACTGCTGTAAACAAGAAAGATAAATAAATAATCCAAGGTGCTCTTTGTCCGCCGTTTGATATTGAAGCCAAATGCGTGTGAACAGAGCATGGAGAACCGAGGGTCCCACAGCAGAATTCAAAGAGCCTGACGCCAGCCACCTGACGTGAATACAATCATTCAGCGAGACAGGGGAACATGGCTCCCCCAGGAGGCTAGAGGCTTTCCTCCTTCCAGATTTCAGAGCTGCTGCACAGACCTAAGACTATACTAGTGATAGAGACCCTCGTGAAAACAATCAAGCATTGACATCCAGTCTAATCAAGATTAAGCCCGCTGAATCATCCCTACGACAGAGATGCTGTGACTCATGGAAACAGACAAGATGGAATGAGAGAAAAGGCGAATGGAAAAATAGGAGGAAAGTAAATCATGAGTTTGTCGGTTTGGATAGCTATTGGAGAGTGAGAGATGTTCCCTTAATGAGAGTTGGCTGCTGCACTTGTTTTTATTCTGTTGTCCCGTGTGTGTAAGCCAGATCCTGTTCTCGAGGTTGTAGGCCCAAGCAGGGAGAGTGTGAATGCTGTGGATCACCTCCTTGTCTTTTATGCTCTCCACCTGTCTCAGAACCTGGTGCTCTCATGTTTCAGCATGCGGATGTTGGTAAGCGTCCCGCTGCCCCTGTGGTGGAACCCGTAATCCTGGCGCTGACCCTCCAGTCACCGAGCACTGCTGCCCGCCGACGACATGCTGCTGCTGGGACTGGAGCTGCCCGAGCCCCGGTCTTCAAACACACTGATCTCCAGCTGAGGACAGGGAGAACGTCAAGGATCATCATGACTGAGGGTATTCAAATACAGTTACAATTACAAAAGCCCTGTATTCGTTCATACTTAAATGTGTAAAGCTAAAGCAGACCACCACTCTTTCTGTATTGCTCACACTACATTTCACCCCATGTTGATGTGGGTGCGCACAAAAATAAACACTTAATCTCAGATGAGGTGGCTTGTGAAAATGTTCTACTTGAGAGCTCAGTGTTTTACAACATACAAACAGAAGAAGTCCCTGTGTGTGTGTGTCTGCTTCCTGCCCCGCTCTGCGTCCCAAGTTTCCTGGTAATGCTTATCTCCTGTCTCAGATTGTCTCCAATGTGCTCCAAATACAATTGCATCTTGTTTTGGCTTGAAAAAGATTGTAGAATCTGGAACAGCTCATGACAAGTAAAAATAAACCCCAGAACTTCTCAAAACTACAAGTTGCAGATTTGTCAACTCGAGGGTTTTTGAGTAAGATCACAGTATGTTGAAACATGTAAAAGAAGTAGAAGTGAGACACATGTTGTGCTGGTCTTTGGGGGATTGAGGTCTCTATCATCCACGAACAGAGACTATATTGTACAGGGGTGTGTTGGCTAATAGGTTGGCCCTGTGACTTGGAGCTTGTCCTTTGAGCCAGGTTTATGTGATGGTCTACTGGATACATTCTCTCTCTCCTTTTGACTTTTAACTTCATGAGGAACTTTGTTGGGTTAACTCCAACTAACAAAGAGATGTTCACATCTGGTTTCTTCTGCAAACTATAAAATACCATAAAATTAGCCTCGTGAAGAGTTAGGAACATTTGAAAAGATTGTGATAGACCACCCTGTTTTGGCACAGCAAAAAAGAACAACATGTCCTGAGCAAACAAAACACAGAACCGCAAGTGCATACACACCTCAGGCTGCTGATTCATCACATCACTACTTTTTCACCTTTTCTCGTCAAAGGACATCTTATGTGTGCTTCTTTCAGGTCTGCCCTCCTTTAAATTTACTCCTGGGAATGACAGCTGGCCATTGAAAAGCTCCTCTGCAGCAGCTGGAGTTTAAGTGCCTTGTTCAAGGGTACCTTGACAGTAATTTATGAGAAAAGAGAGTGTTCCTTTGTAATTCATCCAACTAACATGATGCTAGTAGTTCAATTGATTCTAACTAGTCACCTTTCCTGAAGCCTGGTTTCTGCAAACTCCCAAATTCTGCAACCTCATCTCAGTCTTTATATCACTGACTGTTCTGTTCAGCAGTTACTCTTTTTTAACACTCTTGGGCAGCAGATGAGTGAAGGATACAACTCTCATTCCTCTCTCTACGGGATCTGTCAGCAGCAGACCTCGAGGAGCGTAGATCTTCTCATTCTGCTCATGGATGTATCCTGATATCTTCTTCAGCACCTGGAGTAGAACAAGAGGGTTGGTGAGGGGTAAGAAAAAGGACAGAGGTACATTTGGAGACAATCAAGATTTGATTAGAACCATTGGAGGCATAGTGAAAACCTAAAGAAACAAGCCTAAAATGTGATCCAGCAGAAAATAATCTGTACAGACATTCTAACAGGGGACCCATTACCTGCATATTGCTTTTCAAAGTGCACTCTGTGTAACCATGTAGATAAAAAGACGCCAAACCATGGCAGGGCTGCAGTACCTAACCACATACAATACTGAAACTCATTGCCTGTCTCTATTTTTCCTGAACATTATAATCTAAACTCAAAGTAATTATATTATGCTCTAAGTACGGAAGCTATTTTATACATATTTCTAGGCCACTCATGTCAAGCAAGGCTGTATGTATTCGGTTAGTAAAAAGTACAAGCTTGAGCTTTTCTCTTTTTGAAGTTTTCCATTTGGAAGCCATGGTTTCCTGATTCCAAATATGGCTCTCCCGGGCTAAATGTCATGCCTTGGTTAACTGTCGGGTCAATTCGGAAACACTATACAATGCGAGGTGGACAGTTTATTTGGATTGCATTGGCACTGGACTTACTGTATATCTCAGTTTTGCAAGTGAGTATTGGATCAAATGTGTGCTAAATACCCAAGAACAGCAGTGGAGCGAAGCTGAGCACCAAGTTCAGACCATACCTCGGCACAGAAATTCAAACAAGCATGCCTGTATTACATTACTCTACGCATTACAACTACACACATTGTTTAGAGAGTTCAACAAAACCGTAGCACTGGGAAGCAGTCCCATGGTCCCGCTGATAGCAACCAAATGACTCCTGACTGATGCGTGGAGATGCTAAATGGACTGATGATAGCCAAAGTGGCATCATTAGAGCAGCTTATTCAGCCTCAGATATGCCTCTGTGGACATCAACAAGGCTGATGTGCCATGCCTCTTCTACACTCTGCCTAAGCATGTCAATCAGCCAACCCACGCTCCACTGGGCCTTATGTACACTGACAGAGCTGTCACCACTCCTAAAGAGAGAGGCAATCTGAAGCACATCTGGGGGTCTCTACTAAGACAACACACATTTGTATCACTTAAGAAAAAAGACCACAACATTATCTACTGTATATACAATGAGAAACCAGTTTAACCATATTGTCTACAACTTTAGGATGCGACCCTGACATTGATGGCACCTGAAAGTCAGGCTAACATAGGGGTTTGTTTAAAACATGTATCATTACTTGTCTTTCTTTCCAAGGGATTTTCTTTTAACAATTGATGGTTAAAACAACAACAATAGAATCCGTAGAACAACTACAGCAATCACTTGAAGTATGCTGTATTGGGGATGTAAAAACTTTTGTTTCTGATTTATTAAACATGAAATATTCACATCCACATATTTGAGTTAACTAAAGGTCAGTGTAGCACTCGGCATTGACAGGTTAAAACAATAGAGGGTGAGCAACACACTGAGCAGCGCTCCTCTGGGATGTCAAAAGCCTGTTACAGCTGCAGGCACAGCTGCTAATATAGTGACCCCTGCTAGAGGAGACCAAAACTACAGAAGAATACTTCTTTCTATCTCCAACTGGCAGACAAAAAAGAAGATGTGTTTTCAATGAAATGCCTGGAAAGATTTAACATTAAGGAGAAAACCACACAGTACATTTCTCAGTGAAAAGCCATCAAACGGCAGCGGTTTGCTCCATTGTGCTGCCTTAAATCAGTCAGATCTATGTCAAGTTAAGGTATCAATATTGTGTCTTGTTTTATAACTCCATCAAAGAGAATACAGCATCATAGAGAGAAGCCTTATTATTTATTGTGGCCCGAAAGGCCAACCGTGTCACAGCTAGCCAATCGTGTCACTTCAGCGAAACAATGTGACAGTTAAGTACTCAAGCTGTGCCACTTTGTGCTGGCTTGTCTGTTACAGCCCTTCTAGAAAAAGCTTTAAGAGTGTGTGTATATCGCCTAGGAAGCGAAGGTGTCACAGTCTGTTTCACATGCATGCCGCGAGTGTTTATTCCTCTGCAAGAAAGAAAGTTGTTTATGTCACCAAGTGCAATATAAAGGGAATTATGTGTGTCTGACTGAAACCCGAGTGTTCAGGCACGTTCTTGTGAATAATAGAAGAACAACAAATGGGAGATGAGGGCACATGCTGTGTGTGAGGGAAGCTTTCTGAACGCTTGTGTGCACATGTATCTGTTCTGACATGCTGGGAGCAATCAGTGTCCTTTGATAGGGTGAGATGTAAGCATCAAGGGCTCTGGGTGCTCCAATGAATCTGCACACTGATCCACGCTCTCTGGTGTGTGGCCTCTTTATCAGCACACACACACACACGTACACGCACAAACAGCATCAACTTGGGTGGGTATATTTGATCATTGTCAGTCGCAACATCATTCAGCCAAGATGGTTAAGTTAAACAAGTAAATAAACAGCTTTCCTGTGTGTTTGATGGCATCTTAGCGTCTCAATGGAGCGGCACCCAGCTGACGAGGAGATGAAAGCAGCTCAGACCAATGCGTTTGCGCATGGCTTCATGACAGCAACAAGTCCTTTTGTGCTCCTAGGTCAAGCTCCAAGAATCTCTGTACTGCTTTGATAAAGAAATGTTTACAGAATGCAACAAAACTAGGGAGATGAATGTTGCGGGTGACAACGATCAGAACACAGAGGCATGCTGGGACTTCACGCCACTCTAGTTTAATCTAAAACAACCGACAAAGTCACAAGAGGTTAATCAAACTCCCTGTGTATGTGTCTGGGATTGTGTGTGTGTGCATGTGTTCCATCTCATGTAGCGGCATGCTGCAACAAAGAGGTTTAGTCACGTGCCCTTTCTCAAGATGGACATCTTGGTTTTGCTGCAGGTAAATGTCACGTTACAGTTGGCGTGCCATGCCTTGTGCACCAGCACACAGGTGGACGAACAGCTGAGAGGAACATTTTCAGAGAGAGAATCGAGTGTAATCTCCTAATTTTGGGGGTTTTCCAGGTACCAGGTGACCTTCTGGATTCTTATAAGGTGGAGGTCAATGTAACCCATCCAGATCCACTCAATTACCTTGCTGACTTTAATATTTTAATCACGAAATTCCATAATGATTACATATTTATCATGGCAGCACAGTTGGCATGCTGGGTGTGCATATATTTATTCCAGGTGTTCTAGTTTCCTCCTCTCATCCATATGTGATATATTTCAGCATAGGTTAACCTTGCTCTCATCCAGTACATGTTACAATATAATTGTTATCCACCTGCCACCGGGATACTCGGATCAGAAAAAGGGTTTGCCCTTTAAGGCCTCATTAGATTTCTGCAATCCATACGTTGTTCTAAAAGACTTAAGAGGGGCCTCTCGAATAATGATCATGTGTTCTATAAGAGATCTATTTAGCTGCAGGAAATAGAAAATCATTGGGAAGCAATACTAAAACAAGCGTTATAAAAAAAGTGTGTGCTCTCAAGAAAGCTCCAAGGAATAATTCAACAGATAAGAAATATTTGCTGAAGATAAGATAAATAGGTCGGTAAGATAAGATGGGATATTTGTTTTATTAATCATCATTGGGAAAGTCAGGCGTCAACCACTCTAATGCCTGTGCATGCATTGCGCAAATTCCTAAGGCAATGGGCTTTTTCCACCGCAGAAATGTTCACTTTTCATAGTAGGAAAAGCACCGGTGTTACCAATAAAATGATTGATGGCTCTGCTCTATTCAAGTGTCCCAGTAAGCCATAGAGGTGGGACAGTGAGCCAGGATGAATAACACCAGGACCCTGAAACTGAAGCAGCAAAATTAAATGCAGCCATTACGAACTTTATTATTTACACCGGAGCTTTTCCTGCTGTGAAATAACATGTCTTCAGTAAAAAAATACCCATGGGCCTATCTTAGCAACAAGACTAGAATCAGGGGGAAGAAACTTGCCTAGCTGTGTCCAAAGTAACAAAGTGTGCCTTATGACCCGTGTAAAGCTAAACAACAGTTTACCAAACCATTGTTACAACACATATTTCCCAAACCTAATGTGCAGCCATATTTTCATTGATACAAAGTTAAATGTTAAATGTGTTTTGGATAAATGTATGACAGTACCTTCTCATAGCGTGTCTCCATGCAGAGGAAGACGATGTAAGCTGTTGCACAAGCCAGACATCCTTCCAGGTACGACTGGCCCCCGATTTTTTCTGCCTCCACATAATAAGAGTTCAGCGTCTTCACCGTCTCCTCGAGCAAGGTTCGCTCAATCTACTTACAAACACAAACAGACATCCAGGTAGGGACATGGACATGCACACACCATAAGGACTGTGAAAGTCTTCTGGCATAACAGTGGGAACAGGCTGTTCCGCTATTAAAACGACCTGCCAAACACACCAGCTGCAATCTGCTCCACCCAAAGTACTCCTGCTTTGTCAGAGAATTTATCAACAAACGTCACGTGAAAACTAAGAAGAAATCTACATGAAAAGATACATTTTTAAACTGTGACAGCAGTCGGTAGTGGTTTGCACAACATTACATTTAAAACGCTCACTAATGGCCCCTTTGCACTGACTCCCACTGTGTTTGTCTCTGTGTTTATGTTTCCTTTTCGCTGTTTATGTGGACTGTCTGCCTAAGATGCTAATTACTAGACAAATCTACAATAATACCCCAATATAACAGCATTCACAGATGCTAATGTGGAAAGGTGAAAAGAGCAAATAAACAGCACCACTTCTCCAGAGCCTAAAGTGAGTGTAAAAAAAGGGCTTCATTAGATTCAGCTTTCTTTTGAGGATCAGAAGATTTTGAATACATTTATAATACTTATACTGTTTTTGTCCGCTGAGTTAGAACTGCAGGACATTAAAGCTCAAAGTTTGTATCCTTTTGTGGGGTGGAAATACCTTACAAACCAACAGCCATCACTCACACCTGTTCTTTCATATTGGGAAGCACCATTTTGATCTTATTAGGCTATATTGGGCTATCACTCTTTCAGTATCAGAGAACGGGGGTGTTGCTTCAGGTGAGTTGGGTTTTGGTCAACATATTACATTTTGCCTGGATGTGTGTATACTGTAAGTGGGTTTGTGCTCACCCTGTTGTCGAGCTCGGAGGGGAACTTGGCCTGGAAGCGGCACACGGTTCCTTCAGTGTAGTCTCTCTGAACAAACACCTTGGTGACCAGCGATGCATTGTGCCTCAGCTCCTGAAGGTTATGAAACTGAGCAGATAGACAACAGGAGAAAAGCACACATGTTCAATTTGTGGTTCAAAATGTATTTATATACATAATCGTACAAGAGTAACAGGTCTATTTGATTTGGTGTTGTGTGTTCAAAAACCCTCTCACAACGTTCATTCAGACTAGAATATTGTATTCTCCATTAAATATACATATAATGGGAATTTGGCTTTGGCACTGGATGATGATAATAAGGTAAAATAACAATCACCATACACAGTACAACATTCAATTCATACACAGAAAAATGGAATCTTAAAGTGACTAAGTGGCAGTCTTAATAAAATGTCAGAGTGGTTTGTTCTTCCACTGGCTTGGGTCCATTAACATATCAGTTGTATTTAAAATGAATTCTTTATTATACGTTAAAATGGTGATGGTTTTCAGGGTTTTTCTTGACAACACAGGTACATAAGGGCTACACAGTGTGAGAATGGTACTGTGTTACTACACCAACACTTCATTCCTCCAGCATCAATGGACCCAATTGCAGTAATAACACTTTGAAAGACATCCTTTTGCAGCACTTTGGTGCTGAGTGGAGTGTTTTACACCCAAACAGTCATTCCCCTGAGAGGAATAAAGCAGCCACCAAGTGGGCCAATGTAACATGCCCCCTGCTGATATAAATGACTCCCCTCAAGAGGATGGCAATTAGAGATAGAGTAGGAGGAAGGGAATGAACAAAAAGCGTGTGTGAAAATTGAGTATAACACAGATAAGGAGGCATGGTTTTCATTCAGAGCCTCAAACTTGATTTCTGCTCCATATTTCCCAGAATGTGCGGGCCATATTGTAGTTGTTGGCTTATTATATTCACTACATTTTATTTTGTGGATCGTTTGTCCAGCTACTGCAGTGTTGTTATAATTAAGAGCAAGCATATTTTCAGTTCATGAGGTTGCCTGAGCAGGAGAGAGTCATTTCCAAGTAAGCAGACATAGTACAGTGCCAGCCTTTCATCTCTATATAGAGTATATCACTCACAACCCAGAATAGCATCCAAGCAGCTATTTTTATCAGCCATAAGCCAAAATCATCTCACTGCCAATAGATCTTTCTGTCTGCCAGAGCTTTGAATATCCTTCTTTTTTGCGTTCTTCATCTCAAAAAACACCCCCCTCCTCCTCCTCCCTGCGCTATCTTCAGGCCATCATGATGAACAACAAGTCACTCTATTAATAGAAGCAATTATCAGCACACGATTGAGAATCCTTTATCCAAGTAAGAATCATTTTGCCGAGTGGGATAAACAAAAGATCCATACGGGTCATTTGTTCGTCACTGTGAGATTTGTTTTGGGTGAGGAGGTCTCGCATTCAATCTTTTAATTGAGAAGTTTGAACTTGTTTACTTCAAACAGATATTAGCAGTTAATAGTTCTGTTTGCTGAAGGATTTAAACCTGATATCCAGGTCCAGTTGTGTAGATTTTTATGCTTCAGGATTGTTAGAAAAAAGAAATAAGAGATACTGTAGATGAAAAGATGTGAGAAAAGAAAGAGAGGAAATGAAGATGGAAAAAGGTAAAGAAAATAAGGTCTAAGGAAACAAGTAAACAGGAAGAAGGATGCTGACACTTTAGTTGACAGAAGTTCAGACCAGAGTGAAACCCAGCAGCTTGAACTGCACTGTCACATGCTCAGCTTTCAGGCCAGTGGGACATCACAGTGTGTTTTGACTGGTTGTTGACCTACTGACCTCCCTCTTACATCTCTCTGCTACATGTAGCTCGCAGCTGAGCAAAGCAAGCAAGTGTCACGAGTCTGTGTGGCGGCCAATCAAACATGTCCCTTTATTTCTTCAAAAAGACATCCTGAAAAGAACATCTCTCCAGACAATCACATGATTTTTAACAAACATGGAAACTTGTGTGACAAAATTAAAAGTGATTCGTCCAATGGGGATGTCCGAGTTAAAGGTCACAACTGACTGGTTCTGCCTGCCAGTGTCTTCTGTGTCATTTCATGTCATGTGATGCTTTATAGATGTGGGTCATAGCATCTACATTGTTATAACTTGGTCCTAAACGTGGTGCCCACTCTCAAATAACTTTCAACTGCCCAAATCCTCCAACACCTACACTGTTTTGTTAATAGAAAACTTAAACATAAAATGTTTATTTGGTCATGTTACCGGCCAGAGTGGTCTTTTCTCCATTTGAGCCTTAAAGATCAATGTTTTCTGTTGGCAGAGATCTGATGTTTACTTTTCTGCGTGGGAGATCAGGGTTCAAATCCAGCCTATTACTGTGTCTAAGTATAGCACACAAGCAGACAGCAATGTTAAAATGTCATACTGATCACACAGGACTATTAAGAAGCTGTGCATCATGCAGCTCTGTCTAACTTCTCCTTCCACCCACACATCCACTACTTCTAGTTTGCACATTGATTAACTGCAAAATGAAATGTACTCAGTTGAAGAAATAAAATAAGAAAAAGAAAAAGGACTTATAACCAGTTTAGAGGTTCATAAAAACATCATGAATTTAGCAAACAAAAGAAACAAATGTATTTTACAAGCCACTGGCTCACCAGACAAAAAAAACACCAAGAACCAAACTACTGTAGAGTACACCAGTTCAAACCAGAAGTGAAAAATGACACATGATGCATCAATGACCTCTCATGGCCATGGATGGATGTCCATCACTGCTTGTAGCACTTCTGGATTTGAATTTGAATATGAAGTGCTTTATAAATGGAACCCATTATTATGTCACTAAATCACTTTAAACATATTTGCATTGTCATTCCTACTCAGATACCCTTCCCTATCTCTGACTTCCAGCCTGGATATTGGGGTCTGTGTTACTCTCAATGCCATGACATGTTTCATAGTCTCGTCACTCCGACTCAAACAACGTAAAACGACAGCACGGGTGAGTGCCATTGGGCAGCAATGCAAAGGGCATACACAATTACAGTATGCACAGTAAATACACTGAGTCAGATGTTTCATTCTTGTCTCCAAGCTAGTATTTTTCAGCTCTCTTGTCATCTGTTCAACTGATTTTCTGCCATTTGGAGCAGCATTTGACCTGTTTTCTGCCAAGCAACGCTAGCCATATGTCTATAAATCGTTTAATTTTAAGACAGTGTTGACAAAACTGTCACCTTTCCATGACATCTGGAGGAAGATCAGTGACTTTGGGGCCTAAGCTGAAAGAGGAAATCTCTTTTGGATAAAGGTGGAGCATTGTTTCAGTGGACAGCTGAGCCAGCCTCTGATGATTACTGGTTCAACACATTATTCATCAACAGTGTATGCTGAGCCAGGGCTAGCCTATACGAGGAGGGTCTGGAATTGGTGGACTTAATGGATCCAGAGAGCGTCCACGCAGCACAAACAGTCTGCAGGATGAGCTATGTGCTACTCACTCACTTAACATGGTCCTTTGCTGACTTGGCATACACGGAAATGTCAAATAATTAGTTTTAATATAATATAAAAGAGAGACAGAGAGCTGGGTAAAAGCATGGATAGGAAATCAACGGTGCTTCTCATCTCTAACTCCAATCACTGATGGTTACAAACTGCAGCAGCCTGTTCACATTAAATATGTCATGGATGATTGATGGGCCTTGGACATAAAATCTATCCTGGTTGCACCAACTGGGTGTGTTTGCGTGCATGTGCATTTTGAGTTGTGTGCATGCACGTGTGCGTAATTGATGGGGCTTGGACAGGGATGCTGGCAGACCACCAGAGGGAAAATCAGGGACCCTCTGCCAATGTCTTTCAGGCTCGGAAAAAATCTGGCAAGAATCCTGCGCAGCTTATTGTCACTACACCTTTACCTGCAGCACCATTAAGCTTGAATTACAACTTCACTCACTTATAAATTGCATGTTTAGTGTGTTCACATACATATGATCACATATATTTACACTCATGCATGTACTGTATGCTGGCACAACTAAGCTGGCTCAATCTTGCAAAGAAATGGCTCTTCCAGGGAGATCATTATTATGATAACTAAAGCAGATATGTCTTCAGCGTGATGGTTACATCACCAAGGACACAACGGGGACGAGAGGAAGACGTGCATGCTGGCCTGAGAGCTAGCAGACATTACTGAGGCTAAAAATACATCAGCAACACAGTTTGTTGTAGTTGTGCTATGACACTGCCTGAACAATACTATTTCTGTCATGGACGCTGTGCCTCTGCTGTTCAGGGTTGCCAATCATGTTGGCTCTATTTATGAGAGCTGGGAATTGGAAAGCTGATTCACTATGTGGCTCATTTAAAATGCAAGGACACATTCCTGTCAAGACCATTTCGAAGTGACAGTGTGAAAGACAGAGAGAGGCTGTCCCTGTCCATGGTGCTGACTGCTCCATCATCTTCAGCACACCATCAGCCTCCTCATCTTCGAGCCGACTGGATATTCTCTAACTGGAGGACATTGGTTTTCTTAATTGACCATGCAAGAAAAAAACACTACGTATGAAAAAATATGCATATCTGCCTGTTATCACAGAGCTCAAAAAGTAGAATGAAAGTAAATGCAATGGAGCTTCTGCATGAAAAATATGTTCATACTTGAAGATAACCTGGCAAGACTCTCTGATATTTCAGTTACAATTCACAAGAAGACAAGTCCAAGCGGTGGAAAAGATTGAATTAACAATTAACATTAACCACGAGAAACCACATGCATCGGAGGAACAGCAAGCAAGACACTCAGTTTACAAGACTGCATTTCTTATAAAAAACGAAGGGACATAATTTTCGGGTTTTGTTCATGAAATAATAGAGAAAAGGCAGCGGAGGAGCCGCATTTCTTACCTCTCTCGCCATATTGCAGTAATGAAGTACAGAGGATCTGTCCCGTGCTGAAAGAGACTACCGTGTGCTCGTGCTGTGCGGGACACCGCGACTACAGAGCAGGAGAACGAGGGCGCGTGCTTTTGCGTGACTGAGCGCGCACACTGCGACTAGATTCGCAGAGATGGGAATATGCTCATTAGGCTACATGCTTTTTTTTTTATATAAAGCACAAACCGAACATTATTTGCCCTCAGTCCTTTTCAGTCCTCAAGGTCAGACTTTTAAAACACTAATCAGTGGTAACGGAAATATTCATTTTTTTTAAAGGTTGGTACCTCTTTTTGTGGGGTATTAATAATTTCATTGATCATTAATAATTCAAACAAGTGCCTATAGGTTTCGGTTTCTGTTTGCGACCAGTCAAGCACCTCAGTTCTTCACTTGAAGGATAGACAACAGGCAAATAAATAATCAAATGTAATGTTTACAGATGCAATCCTTCACACATTGAGTAGCTTTACTATAAAAACTTTTGCGAGAGTATTATCAAAGCAAAGCTCAATAAGAGTAGCATTCAGAAGTGTTATACTGATACCAGAGATTTAAAAAAAAAAAAAAATACGAGTTCAGTATTAAATCACCAGTGAATGAAAATGCCCCCAAGGACATAAATCTTATCTTATCAATCTCAAATGTATTTAATTTGAAGCCTATGTTTTATATTAACACATTGCTCGTCATCCAGTGTTTCCTCTAGCCAACTCTGCCATCCTTGGTGCAAAGTTGTCATGCTGTGTTGACCATAGCCCATATGTTTAATGCACCATCAGAAGGGGCTCATATTAAACATTCATCAGAGCCCACTTGGGTGTTTTATATTTCCACGTTTTCCCTTTTCCAGTTCACGAGCAGATCAAGGTCTTACACCACTTGCATTTTTTACAAGGTTGACTTCAATTTCACAAATATCACTAAAGAAAAAGCTGCAGCCATTATGAAAGCTCAGGTTTAACGCTCTTGACGCTCCCAAGGACAGGGAAATGTTTAGATGAGATAAAAGACTTTGAAATAAGACAGCGAGTGAAGTCACTTTGTAAGGCTATTTTTGGTGTAAAACTCCTATTTTCTGCTACCTAATTGAGGTCATGACGTGCTGAAAATAGCCACTTTCTCTATCACTACACATTCCCCAGAGGAATCACATTTCAGGCAGATATGCTCAAATGTATAAACAAATATATCCACTAAGACACAGCAGTAAACAACTCTTATGAATGGAAACAGAATCCAAAAATAAGATGGAAGAGGTTTAACAAAATGAGAATTATGCTAAACTAATCTCATTCGCCAGGATCCTGCTGCTTTCTCCGACTTGCTTGAAAAGATTCGTATCTAATCACATGCTGGCTGAGGTTCCCTTAGGGCTGTGTGTATATATACTCACATTTACAAGTTTCTGTATGCATGTGTGTGTATTACACATTCTACAGTGTATTTTCTTTTCGAGACACAGACACACACACTGGTACACACTCACCATCACATAAACCTAAGCCTAGGGAACCTATTCAGAAGTAGAGCTCATTATCTGTGTTCATTATATGTGCATAATTTGTGGAACTAAAATCTCTAACAACCATATGAGGGTGTATTTCTCATTGCATACAAGAATACAACACTATTGGGCTGGTGTTACGCTGGAAACTTAGATTTGTACCTTTAAAAAACAGGAATACTGTTAGAAATGACTCGTGAAAAGGTTAAATATTAGCATTTAGTGATCTGTCACCAATAGATAAGGCTAAGAAATGTCGCCATCATGGAACATCTATTGGTTTGGGGTGTGTGATCGTAGTAAGCCACACTTTGTTGACCCATTTACTCCCTGCTGCATCCCTAAGATTTTGAAGCTGCTCTGGCTTTTTTCGCCTGATAGATTGATTAATAATTCACATGACGAAGAAAGACCCTTTTAAGGTCAATGTTCACGTACAGGAAGTAATTTGGGGCATTTTCAACAATACGAATTCTGCTGTCTTCCTTTGAAGGGGCAGCAAACGTTGAAAATGTGATGGTGGGTCAGCTGAAGACATTGCGTTACTTAAATGACGCAAACTTTATACAATCCATCTAATAGTTGTTGATATATTATTTCCATATTGTTTAGACTGACATCAACATAACAAAGGAGCAGCCTGGATCTGTGATGAAGTAGTGGCTTCAGCTAGTTAGTGTGTATGTATGTACATTATTTATGTCACAGATTGTAGAGTATATATGTTAACAGGAGCGATAGATGCGAGGTGGAATAGGAAAAAGTTAGGTCTTGGTTTTATGAAGGTTTTATTTTAGTTTCCTCCAGATGCAAGCAAGCTGAAGAAAACTACAGAGTTGTTTCATTTTAAATGTCTATCATGGCAGAGTACATGCATTCCTTTCCATATTGAGAAAGAAGATGCCTTCATATTACATCTCATTTAAGTCTTCCAGCATGTCTGAATCTGCACTTCAGCAGAAAATAATAACTTTGCCACAACCTTAAATTATCATAATGACCCGTAGCAGGCACACACACACACTCACATAGTGCACTCAAATATAGCCTTTTTCACATTTCATCCTTCATGAAATATTTATTCCAGCAAAACATTCATGGTTTCAGCTTCACTCCCAAAACTGCCACTTTCTATTTGAAGCTGGTGCTGTGAAGTGTTGAAGATGGTGATGCTGACCTTGCAATGAAAAGGAAAACAGAACCAAAGAAAACACTAACTATACCTGCGGTTTCTCAGCTCTCATGTCCTTAGACTTGGCAAGTTGGGGTAGCATTAGGGACTTTCTAGGAGTCTCTTGGTTCAAATGAGCAGGAAACGTATACATATAAGTGCATCCACATGTCATGATTGACATGGGAAGCTATTATAGTTTTGATATTGTCCGAATCAGTTTTGTCCTTGTTTTTTGTGTCGGTCCAAAACCACAGATCCCAGATATCCGTGATCTTTGACTTTCACTACAATAACAGAAATGTGTTTGTTTGAGGGTTCGGTCATCGTCATGAAACCTCTTATTGTCTATGTGTGTGACTGTTCCATCCTGGAATGTTGACATGTCCCTCTTCTTGGTAATCGAATAAGGGCCAAAAAAGTTTAGAACAGATTGTGTTTCCTGGGAGGTTTACAGGCAGTGAAAAGGATCGCCTGATGACGAGATCTGAGCGCTGGCTCCGATTTGTTTATGTAGTGCAGCTGGTATGTGTCTTTCAGTTTCATCAGCTTCTACTCTTGCATGCACGCTCTACCTGTACGAGGCAGTGATGCATGAGATTTGGGTTCAACCGTGTTTCTATCTCCAAGTTGTCTGGGCATTAAGCCACAGCAAACACTCTTCTCTATTGACTTAACCACAAGTTGAGAATCTCTCACAGACACAAATACACAGATACTGTCAGAGGAGCACATTGAAAGAGATCTGGTTCTATCCCAACATGACAGGAAATGAGAAGTCTCTAACCAAAAACATATTAACTTGGAATCTTTAAAAGCAAATAAACATCTACTCGAATGCCTTCCAACATTTCAGATACCAAAGTCGAACTAAATAGAACTCCACAGGTCATCTTTTTTTCAGCGAGTCTGCATTTTGGATCCGTCTACCACACATCCTCCATCTCTCATATATACAGGCTGGATTATTTGGTGTATGTTTGTGCGTCTGTGTGGCCTGTCAACAGTCGGCCTTGCTCCTGCACGAATGTTGATTTATCCCTCTGGCTGGCAATCAAATCTGTGTTATACTTTTCATATCGAAGCCAGCGGATGTTCTCATTTCTGATATCAATGCTGGCTATGGGTAACTCTTGCAATCCAGCTGGAATATTGCTTTGCAAAAGACACAACTCCATCTCTCGATTTACACATCATTACAGGGAGAAACGTCTGAGAAATGAGAAGAAGGTATTCGGAAGAGAATAATCCATCCACTGCTGCAAAAAACTAAAAGAAAGGAGTTGATGAAAAGAATAAATAGCTGGCAAGAAAGTGGCTAATTATGAGATATTTGAACAAAGAAAGGAGAGTAGGACACCCACTGAGTCATCTGTTTCTGAGGAGTTACATAAAAGTGAAGCTTGTTTGAGGAAGAACAGGAAAGAGTTGGCCAGTCAGACAGATAAATGCACATCTCTGTATGTTAACATTTATGTCTTATTTGGGCCAAAACACAATCAGAAGTGATGAAGAACTTCCCTTCTAATAATCCACACATGATTTCATGACTGCTGTCCAATCACAGCTGAAAAGTCAAGTTTGGCACTCACAGACACAAAAGGGGCAATACCAACTGAACTGTATAATAATCAAGCTGCATATAGATATACATTTCATCCGAGCCCGGCTAAAAATATAACAATACAATTGAATAGGACAAGCAGAATGGCAGAGTGACGCGCTGGAGGGAAAACACATCGTACACTAACACATTTCAGATCAAGGGAAAGACATCAACATGATTTCCTCTGGGCTATCAGGCAGAGGTTAAGACAGAAAAAAAAAGGGGGGGGGGGGGGGGGGGGGGGGAACAGAGATAAAAACAGAAATGAAGAAAGACAAAGGATGTGATCTTTGCAAATGTAATCCCTTGTGAACGTCAATATTGTTAATTTGGCGCTGAGGAAGATAATAACACGCAACAATTGAAATTCCCCTGCCAGTTGAGGTGGTTTGTGGCTCCAGGAGGAACTGACATTATGCATATTTGGTAGTAATAAATAAAGCGAATTAGGAATAAAAGTGATTTAAACTGTTTTGTCATGAACTGACCTCAGTTATAAACACAGAAATATTACTTGAAGGCTCGTTGCGAATCACACCGTGAAGGCATGATTTATAACGTTGGCATTCTCTCTTTAAAAATGACAAATGACAAGTGTTGGTTAGTGGCAAACACACTTCATCTCGTACCCACTTTCAAATGTAACCCATTAAAGTGATGGTTCACAGGCTTCTCACTGTCTTACTGAATACTAATATGCTCACTATATGC